ACGCCTAGTCCCTGCCCCCAAACCCGCCTTTTTAAATTGACCTAGGGTCTCACTAAGTTGCCAAGATTGACCTCAAAATTGTAATTCTCCTACCTCAGCCACTTTAGTCCCTGGGATTACAGGTTTGTGCTACAGTGCCTAGCTGTATATACAATTTTTAAATTTTCTGATGGACATTTAGATTGCTTTCACCTCTTGGCAATTTTTTGCAACGAACATAGGTATGTAATGTATCTTATATAAATGTGTCTTAGAGATCCTTAAGGGGGGGGTGATGGCCAGCATCTCATTGGGGGGTTCTTCTTGCCCAGGAGAATGTAAGCCACCCTAAAATTTAGAGTCTCAAATAATTAGTGAATAACAAAACGCAAATATTCAGAAGCATATTTACAAATGCAGAACACCTGATAGATCTAGTCCATATAGGCTCTGGAACTAGACTCGATGGCTCCGATGGTTTATTTAAGGGGGTACAACAAAGTCAGGGATAAGGTTTCAGGGCGGAGTCTTGCTTCCTGATGTCTTGTAGTCAGCAGGTTGATTGACATCTTGGCAAATCACACCCATCCCAGCTGCTATGTGGACCACTGTAGAGCGGGATAGAAATTCACACTGTCCCTGGTCAATTGACCATAAATTATATTCACTGGTCATTTCCAGACACCAAATGTTTCTATCCACTAGGCTTCCATGTGTGGTGACCCACATGCACCCCATGGGTGGCTCGTGACAGATCTTATTTTCAATTCTTTTTTTCCTTCATTTTAAAAACTTGAAGTTGCATATATTTAAGGACACATATATTTATTGGTGTGTGTGAATGTATGTGTGTGTGTTCTTTTTTGTGGTAATGGGGATTTTTATTTTGAGTCAGGGTCATAGTATGTGGTCTTTTGTGACTTTTTCTTGACTTTTAAACATATCTAAGTCTTTCATTAAAAAACTTAATAAAGCCTCTCCATTAATCTACTACTACTACTCCATCTTTCTTCTTTCCTATACAATCCAACTTCTTAAAAGAATTATATGTATGCCGGGTGTGGTGGCACTTACTTGTTGTTTTAGTCAGCGTTTTTGCTGCTGTAGCTAAAGGATCTGGCCAGAAAACAACTATAGAGTGGGGAAAAGTATTTGAGGGCTCACAATTTCAGAGGTCTTAGTCCATAGAAGGCTGGCTCCATTTCTCAGGGCCTGAGATGAGGCTGAACATCATGGTGGGAGAAGGTGGTGGAGGGAAGCAGCTCATATCATGGTGATGAAGAAGCAGAGAGAGGGCGGGGGCTGGAACTCAGTGGCAGCATGCTTGCCTAGTATGTGAGAGGCACTGGGTTTGATTTTCATCACCGTATATAAAAATAAAGGTCCATTGACAAAAAAAAAAGGAGTGGGAGGAGGAGGAGGAGGAGGAACTATTAAAAAAAGTAGGGCTGGGGTTGTGGCTCAGTGGCAGAGTGGTTGCCTTGTATGTGTGAGGCACTGGGTTCAATCCTCAGCACCACATAAAAATAAATAAAATAAAGGTATTCATATTCTCTCCATCTATAACTATAAATTAAAAAAAAGAAGAAGAAGAGGAGGAGGAGGAGAAGAAGAAGGAGAGAATCCATTGGCCAGATAAAATATATACCCAAAGCCACGCCCCAATTCCTACCTCCTCCAGCTATACTTTACCACTTAGTTACCACTCAATCCCCATCAAGATTAAATCACTGATTGGGTTAAGACTCTTAAAATCCAGTCATTTCTCCTTTGAACCGTCTTGCATTGTCTCACACTTGAGCTTTTGGGGGACACCTCACATCCAAACTATAACACTTGTAATCTCAGAGACTGGGGAGGCTGATGCAAGAGGATCATGAGGTCAAGCCAACTGCAGCAATTTAGTGAGACCCTGTCTCAAAATAAAAAGGACTGGGGATGACTTCATGGTTAAATGCCCCTGGGTTCAATCCCTGATACTGCATCCCCTCCCCTCAAAAAAGGAATCATTTGTTTTTATTGTCTCTTTCCCCACCATAATCTTTTAATCTGTAGCTCATTCTGGGTGGTTTCTTCTTTCTCTCTCTCTTCTCCTTTTTTTTTTTTTTGTACTAGGAGTGTGATTTCTATTTTTTTTTTTTTAGTTGTAGTTGGACACAGTGCCTTTATTTATTTATCTGTTTTTGTAGTTGTAGATGAACATCATGCCTTTATTTATTTTTAATAGTAGTTTTTTCCTCCTCCTCCTCCTCCTCCTCTTCTTCTTCTTCCTTCTTCCTTCTTCTTCTTTCTTTTCTCCTCCTCCTCCTCCTCCTCCTTCTTTCTTCTTTCTTTTTTCTTCTTCTTCTGTTGTCAATGGACCTTTATTTTATATGTGGTGCTGAGAATTGAACTCTGCCTCACACATGCTAGGCAAGCACCCTACCATTGAACCACAACTCCAGCCCCTCAGTTGACTTTTGAGCAACAAGTTATGCTGCTTCTACTGTTCTCCTTCATGGACACCCTCCTCTTTGTCTTCTCTGATAACATATTGCTCTTGCTTTCCTTGTTATCACTGTGGCCTCCTTTGGTCTCCTTGTGGAGCTTTCTCTATAATGACTGTACGTGTAGCTGCTAAAGCATTCCTCAAGGCTTTCTTTAAATTTTTGTTTCCCCCCACTTGGTACTGGGGATTGAATCCAGGGGCACCCTCACTTTTATAAAGGTTCTGGATTGGGGGAGAAAATTGTAATGTTCGTTCTAATTATAAGGCACTAGGAATTTGGCCTCTATCTTCCTCTCCAGCATCATCTTGAACTGTGTGCACTTGCTTTGCCCACTGCATTTTATACATAGAATGTTATGTTCCCTTGCCCCATTTTCTTTCCTGTGTTATTTTTTTTCTACTCTCAGCTATCTATCTCTGCAGGGAAACCTTGCCTGACCTTCTTAAGACAGATTAATTCATTAACTGGGTCTCATAGCACCTTCTACCTATTTTTTACAGTATTTATCACAGAATTTTACATGTGTATTGGATTCAAAGCTGTCCTTTACCAGACTGTGCTTGCTTATTGCAACTGATAAAAATGTCTGTTGAATGAAGAATGGAATGCATGCCAGCATAACTTCTTAAAAATTCTAACCTACTCTATATAACTCAGGTATATGAAGTAGCAATAAAGAGAGGGAAGCATTTTTATATTTCACCTTTAAAAGTATGGAGTAAGCTGGGAATATAGCTCAGTGGTAAAGTGCTTGCCTATCATGTGCAAGGCCCTGGGTTCAATCCCTAGTACTTAAATAAAAGAATGAAAATTAAGAAGTCAGCCAAGCTTGGTGGTGCATGCCCGTAATCCCAGGAATTTGGGAGGCTGGAAGCTGGAGGCTGAGGCAGGAAGATCACAAGTTCAAGGTCAGTGTAGGCAACTTAATAAGTTTCTCAGTAACTTAGCAAGACCCTGTCTCAAAATTAAAAATAAAAAGTATTGGGGATGTCACACAGTAGTAAGGTGCCCCTGGGCTCAATCCCCAATACTAAGAAACAAAACCTACAGAGTAACCAAATATACCCACTTTCTTTACATTTCTACTGTTTACAATAGAGGGTCCAACCTGTCAGCCTGTGAGTTGTACAAAATTTAGTTATTATTTACTGACCATATAGATTTTAAGAATAGAAGAAATTTTGTATGAAAATAAAGATTGCTGGTTTTGTTTAAATGTAATAGAGATCTGGCAAACCCACTTGATGTTAATTACCTTGAAGTGGATGTGGCTATATTCTTCGAAATGGTCATTTGTGTCATCTGGCATAGTACTGCAAAAAGCATAGTCATTGAGCTGGCCATGAAAGTCAGGCATGGTGGCACATGCCTGTAATCCTTCCTGCTATAGAGGCTGAGGCAGGAGGTTTGCTGAAACCCTGCCTCAAAGTGAAATATAGAAATGGCTGGGGATATGTATGTAAATCAGTGTAGAGTACACCTGGGTACAATCATGAGTACTGCCCTCCCCCCCCCAAAAAAAAATTGACTGCTCATGCCAGGCAAGCACTCTACCGCTGATGTTGGGGATTGAACCCAGAGGCACTTTACCATGGAACTACATCCCTAGACCTTTTTATTTTTCATTTTCAGATAGGGTCTCGCTGAGCTGTTGAGGCTGGCCTGGAACTTGCAATTCTCCTGTCTCAGTCTCCCAGGTTGCTGAGATTACAGGTGTGCACTACTGCCCCTGGTTTTTTCATTTTAAGACTGTCCTGCTTGGGCTGGAGATGTGGCTGAAGCGGTAGCGTGCTTTCCTGGCATGCGTGCGGCCCAGGTTCAATCCTCAGCACCACATACAAATAAAGATGTTATGTCCACCCAAAACAAAACAAACAAACAAAATATTAAAAAATTCTCTCTCTGTCTCTTTAAAAAAAAAAAAAAAGACTGTCCTGCTAAGTTGCTTAGTCTGTCCTTGAACTTGTGATCTTCCTGTCTTAGTCTCCAGAATACCTGGAAGTACAGGCATGTGTCATCCTGCCTTTCTTTGCATTTTAAAGTATGATTTTCAAAGAATACTACTGTCAAACTATGTTAATGATAATAGTAAAATATAACTAGCATTTGTAATATAGTTACTATGTACCAGGCATTATGCAAAGTACTTTTCACTGATAATACACAGCAGCACTGTAGTACAGGTACTTCTACCCTCATTTTACAGTTGAGGAAACAGTCTCATGGAGGTAAATAACTTGTCCAAAATCACATAGCTAAGTAAGGGGGCAGTGAGGAATGAGAACAGAGGCATAAAATCTCTGTGCTTGATGTGCATTGTTTTTGGTGGAAAATTATACTGCATTTCATATGCTGTGAGGGTGTTAAACACCCATGTATGTATGTCACTGTGCTGGAAGCTGTAGACACCTATTTGTGTGTGAGTTTTTTATGAAATTTAGATGGGTGTTTGGTAATGCCTGGTGGCCATAGAGCTTGTACATTATAGTGAATCTTAGTAATCAGTTTTCTCTCTTTTTCTTCATCCCACAGTGTTAATTTTAAAGACCCTGAAGCAGTCAGAGCTCTGACTTGTACTCTCCTAAAGGAAGATTTTGGACTTTCTATTGATATTCCATTGGAGAGACTAATTCCCACAGTTCCGTTGAGACTCAACTATATTCATTGGGTGGAAGATCTGATTGGTCATCAGGACTCTGACAAAAGTACTCTCCGAAGAGGAATCGACATAGGTATATAGTTTTAAATTCTTTTGTGGCTAAACATAAGTTTCAAAAGTTTTGCAAGGCCAAATTCTTAATAAACTACTGAGTATTTGTTGTGTGAAAGAAGCTGGCCTAGTTTAACTACTGTTCTTATCCACTATACTTGGGCTTTTCTGCCGTAGATTTCTCCTGAGAAGGGGTTTTCGGCTCCAAACAGGGAGCAAGGTGGTAAAAGAGGTACAGGATGAAAGTGAGGCTCTTGTCTTAGCTTTGCAGATTTCCACATTGATTTCCATGACTGTTGGGCCTTATCTTTACTCTGAATCAATTGATGTTAGTATAGACATCATCATACTGAGGTTTTATGGCAATGGCCAGTTAATAAAAGATCATGTGGGCCTGAATACTTTTGGGAATCTTTTGGGTGATTATTTGTAGAGAGGGTATTTAATTCAAGATTAAAGTCAGGAAAAAGTTGAGTTCATGTAAGATGTTCTTATAAATAAAGATGTCTTTTTCTCTCTCTTTCTTTCTTTTGAAATATTTTATTTATTTATTTTTATGTGGTTCTGAGACTCGAACCCAGGCCCCTGCATATGCTATGCCAGTGCTGTACCACTGAGCCACAACCCCAGCCCCTGAATTTCTTCTTCTTCTTCTTTTTTTTTTTTTTTTTGTAGTTGGATACAATACCTTTATTTTGCTTATTTATTTTTATGTGGTCTAAGGATCGAACCCAGGGCCTCATGCGTGCTAGGCAAGTGCTCTATTGCTGAGCCACAAACCCAGGGCATCTTTATTTCTTAATGGTTTGTTTTACTCACTGTTGTTATTTGATAGGGTTTTAATTTTTTTTCTTTTAATCCTTTGTCCTTAACTAATTCCTTATAGGAAAGATTGAATTAACAACTCTGTGTCTGTTTCTAGATATAGTATAGTTAATGGTCACAATGTGTTGATAGTACTAAATGTGTAACTTTGACATTTGCTTGCATTTTCAGTGAACTCTTTGAGTCTTCATCTTACATGACCTTTTCAACAGCATTTTTTTGACTTCTCCTTTCTTTCACGCACTGTTCTCCATTTGCTTCCATGGCAACAGTCTCTTCTGGTTTTTCTTATTCATTTCTACTCGCTCTTCTTTCACTTTTCAGGCTTACCTTCCTGTTCTGACTGTTTGATACTGATAATCCTTACTTAAGGCCCAGTCTTTAGCCTTTTCTCATTCAGCACCCTACCCTAGCAATTTCACTCATGTCTGTGACTTTACTACCTCCATGCAAATAAGTCCCATATTTATATATTCTTTCAACTTGGATTGTTTTTTCTTTTCCTTTTCCCCACAACACCTTTATTCTATTTACTAAATGTAGTGCTAAGGATTGAACCCAGGGCCTCAAACTTGCTAGGCAAGCACTCTACCACTGAGCTATAGCCCCAGCCCCATGGATTGCTTTTCCTTGACCTCTGATCTCATACACCTAAGAAACTTGGATATCTGAAAAATGTGCCAGACTTGCTATGTCCAAGACCAAAACATAGTGTTTCTTACTAGTCCCATTATTTCAGTGAATCTACCACAATCCACTCTGTCATCCTTGATATTTCTCATTCTCACTGAGAATATTCTTCACTATTTCCTGTTGATTCATTTATTGGGGGACTGGGTCTTACTGTGTTGCCCAGGCTTATTTCAAATTCCTGGACTTAAGTGTTCCTCCTGCCTCAGTTTTTTTTTTTTTGGTGCTAGAGCCTGAACCCAGGCCTTGTTCATGCAAGGCAAGCACTCTAACTGAGCTTATATCCCCAGCCCTCTGGCTTTCTTAAGTCAATCTTTCTCCCTTCCTTCCTTCATTCCTTCCTCCCTCCTAGCCTCACATATATTAGGCAAGCACTGTGCTATTGAACCACATCCCCAGCTCCCTTAATATTTCTTAAATCATCTACTTCTGTCTCCACTGCCATCATCCCCAATCCAAGTTATCATCATCTTTTACCTTATCTACAGGATAACTTCTCAGCTGGTATGCTGTCATCCACTCAATTGTCCCTCTATTCTGTTCTCTGCCCTGCATTCATAAGATATCTATAACTCCACATCTGATTGCATTTTCACCACTTTAATGGGTTCTTAATGCTTTTGTGGTAAACACCCAAAACTTTGAATTGGCCTTTTAGATTTACCTTTGTATGATCCTTGCCTTCTTCTGAAGGCCTCTCTAAGCCCATCTTATATGGTTCTTTCCCTGTCCTACTCCTCCCTTTATGTACTAAGGTTGAACCCAGGGGTGCTCTACTACTGAGCTATATCCCTAGCCCTTTTTATTTTTTATTTTGAGACAGGGTCTTTTTAAGTGGCTGAGGTTGGCCTTGAACTTGTGATCCTCCTGTCTCAGCCTCCTGAGTAGCTGGAATTACAGGTGTATACTATTCTCCCCAGACATTGCTTTGTTTTCTATCCTTTTTTTAGATTCTTCTAATAAGGCACCATAGCCCCCAGAACTTTGTATGTTATTTCCTGTGCCTGGAACTTCCCTCATCATTACCTTGTTTATTCTTTTTTATATAATACTGTACATGACAACTCAAGAAAAGCTTTCTCTGACCTTCCAGGCTAACACAAGTTCCTTGGTTATAATCAGTGTTTCAGAAAGCCTTGTTTCTTTCTTCATGGCATTTATTTCAGTTTAAAACTGTACTGTTTTCAATTTTTTGACTAATGTTATTCTCTGCCGCTAGATTGCAAAGTATAGTTAATTTTCGGTTATTATAATATTCCAAAGCTAGCAAAGTTTCTGGCATATAATATTTGTCCAATAAATGATTTATTGAATGTTGCTGGATAAATACATCATTCTTTTCACATTCAAAATTTGAGCACTCCATATGAGCTTAAGCACTGTAAAAACATTGAGATTTTTTCTTAAAGTTCTTACCCTTTTATATTCATGGCAGAGAACTGGTGGATGGTTCTAGAAAGCTTTGATAGCTTAACAGCCTATTTGGTGCAAACTTGATTTTAATTATGCCCCAAACTCTCTAAAATAGCACTTGGGGATATAGGAGGTTAATGGATTTTAGCTCTTCACAAGGGGCAATGCTTGCTGAAATCATATTCAATCTAATTAGGGTTTTATATAAATTCTTCCCCCAGACTCCATCAGTTTGCTCTAATTCTATGATTATTACTTTCCATTTATATTTATCATTATAAAGATTATTACTCACTTAAAAGATGTCATTTGTCTTTCTGAGGGCATTAGAATGTCAGAATGCAAGGTTTTTAGTCTTGAGAATTGAGACAAAACTTTTTTGGGGGTGGGCAGAGAGTAGATCTTTTACCTACATTTATTATCCTGGAGGTAAGCACACTTTTATTTGAAATGAAATTGTAGTATGAAGAGAGAGGCAATTGTATGAGAGTCAAGGGCCTGGAACCTGATCTGGATTTTTTTTATTACAGAGCTGAAAGGGCTACTGACATTTTCTTATTCCAGATGACTCTGGTTCACCAGAATTGCCAGTAGAGCTAAAAAATTGTGGGTTCTGAGAGGACCCTCCTTCCCTCCTCCACATCTAACAAATCCCTGAGGAGTAGTTTGCCCAAACTGCTTAGGACCAGGAGACTTGGACAGCAGTCATTATGACCGTCAAAGAGCTAAAATGTTGCAGCCATGAATCATCCTGTCTTTTCCTAACATGTTCAGAATATCTCCCTTGGTTTTCCTCTGGGTTAGGAGCACCTCCAGACTCTAATGCTTCCTGCCAGATCACTAGGAACTAGACTGGAACCAGGATGTGGTCAGGGGAAAATAGATCTGAAGTGGCTGGTTTAGCCCTTCAGGAGAAACACTGACTTTCCTTCTCTCAAATATACTCTCTAGGATCTAACTGGCCAAGATTAGACAGTGGTTTAAGGCAATATTTGTGGTTAGTATATAGACCAGTCCAGGACTAGTGATTCTTCATGTCAGTTTAGGACCAAACCCTAGTTGGTTAAAGAATAATTTTTGCCTGGAGCATTTATCTGTGAATATCTCCTTTGAATTTGTGGTGGGGCTAGCCCAATTCTGATGTTTTGGATCCAAATGAAATATTTTTCCATGTCTCTGCATCTAAAAAAATGGTTGTCTTTAGTTTTGTTTGTTTAATTTTTTTCTTTAAACTTTTGATTTCATTCAGGTGACAATTTATGGAAATGTGGGGAATTGGACTGTCTGATGTTGTGAAAAATTTGCACCCTATATATTTTGTTCTGCTTTTTGGAGAATGGGATGTGTACATTGATCTGTTTTAAGATGTTGCTATGATATTTTAACGGATAGAATTAAAAAAAAAAAAAGAAAATTGAGTTTGTGTGAGATTTAAAATGATGACTTTTTTTTTTTTTGTTCGTACCCAGGTTCACTACCCACTGAGCCACATCTCCAACTCTTTTTTATATTTTATTTAGACACAGGGTCTTGCTGAGTTGCATAGAGCCTTGCTAAGTTGCCGAAGCTGGCCTTGAACCTATGTTCCTCCTGCCTCAGCTCCTAAACTGCTGAGATTATAGGTGTGTGCCACCACACATGGCCAAATGATGTCTTTTTTTAAAGCATTAAATTAAATTGAATTTGGACCATTTTTGCTTAGTCAGTTTCATATTTCTTGACCTTCATTGATGTAAACTTCATTTTACATACAACACACGAATGAGGAGGACAACAAGGGTTCTGTCTTCTATGGAGCCTAACTCTACTTACAAGTAGAGTTAACATATATGAAATAGAGAACCCAGGAGCCATAGTATGAACCAGTTTTTTATTTATGTGTATATATATGTATATATTTTTTTCTTTCTCTCTCTCTCGTAGATGGATACAATATCTTTATTTTATTTATTTATTTATTTTTAATATGGTCCCAGGGATGGAACTCAGTGCCTCATGCATGCTACGCAAATGCTCTGCCACTGAGTCACAACCCTGGCCCCCCAGCTTGTGATTTAAACTGTTAAAGCTATGAGAAATCTGAGAAGAGAAGAATGATGTTCTCATTGTTACTTTCACGTTTCTTTCATGTGTAGAATGTGTTCTAAATTTTTATTTTACTAGGTACTGGGGCATCCTGCATCTATCCCTTACTTGGAGCAACCTTAAATGGCTGGTATTTCCTTGCTACAGAAGTGGATGATATGTGTTTCAACTATGCAAAGAAAAATGTGGAACAGAATAACTTATCTGATCTCATAAAAGGTTAGCTCAACAGAATAAATTCCCCTTCAGGCTTTGTTTATTAACCTAAGTTAACAAGTCTTGTTATCTTTGGCTTTAATATACAGACTTTGATAATTAAAAAAAAATGACACATTGTAATTGGGTTTGCTGTTTTAATACCAGAATTAAAAAAAAAAAAAAGTAAGTACAGTTGATCCACATTGTTTCTGGGTTCTTTATGAATTTTCCTACTTGCTGAAATCAGTTTATTTAAGTAGATTTTCTTGAACCTTTTTAATTTGCCGATGTCCAAAGTGGTTTTGGTTTGTATTTTAACATACTTTATTTTATAGAGAAATTCATAGCAAAATTGAGTGAAAGGAATCCTTGAGGTGCTAGTGACTGAAATTGCTGAGCCTGGCCTCAAACTTGTAATTCTCCTGTCTCTGCCTCTCAAGTAGCTGGGATTATAGTGCACTACTGCACCTGGCAGAATCCTTCATGTATTTTGGATAGTAGTTCTTTATTACATATTTTCTGCAAATATTTTCTTGTAGCCTGGTACTTCTCTTTTTATTCTCTTGAATAAAAGCAAAAATTTTCATAGAGCAAAAATTTTAATTTTAATGAGGTCTAGCTTATTGATTCTTTCCTTTGTGAATCATGCCTTTGGTGTTTTATCTGAAACATCACCTCCATATCCAGGATGATCTAGATATTCTCCTATGTTATCTTCTGGGAGTTTTATTGCTTTGCTTTTTGTATTTAGTTCTGTGATCTGTTTTGAACTAATTTTTGTCAAAGGTCTATTTCTAGATTTTTTCTTTTTAAACTTTCTTTTTTCACAGATTTTTAACCCCTGTGGGTTTTTTTTTTTTTTTTTTTTTTTTTGGTGTGTGTGTGTGTGTGTGTGTGTGTGTGTGTAAGGGCTGGGGATTGAGCTTGGGGCACTCAACCACTGAGCCACGTCCCAGCCCTATTTTGTATTTTATTTAGAGACAGGGTCTCATTTAGTTGCTTAGTGCCTCAATTTTGCTGAGGCTGGCTTTGAATTTACTATCCTCCTGCCTCAACCTCCTGAGCTGCTGGGATTACAGGTGTGGGCCACCATGCCCAACTCTCCCATGTTTTTTTATTGGTGCATCATAGTTGCACATAATGGTGGGATTTATTGTTACATATTTGCATATGCACACAATATAACAATATAATTTGGTCAATATTATTTCCTGTTATTTCCCTTTCATTCCCTTCCTCCCTTGCCCTGGTCCCTTTCCTCTTCTCTGCTGATTTCCCTTTGATTTTCTTTTCCTTTTCCTCTCTAGCTTCCACATATTAGAGAAAACATGCCACCCCTGACTTTCTGAGTTTGGTTTATTTTGCTTAACATAATTGCGTAATGTTTTTAATTTTTTCTTTTTAAAGAATTCAACCTTAATTTTATTATTATTATTATTTTTTTTAAGAGAGAGACAGAGAGAGAGAGAGAATTTTAATATTTATTTTTTAGTTATGGGCGGACACAACATCTTTGTTTGTATGTGGTACTGAGGATCGAACCCGGGCCGCACGCATGCCAGGCGAGCGCGCTGCCGCTTGAGCCACATCCCCAGCCCTAATTTTATTATTTATTTATTTTTTATGTGGTGCTGAGGATTAAACCCAGGGCCTCACCTGTGCCATGCAAGGGCTTTACCACTGAGCCACAACCCAGCCCCATAACTTTTTTTTTTTTTTTTTAAACTCAGGGGTGGTTCTTTTTACCACTGAGCTAGGTCCTCAGGTCACCCTCCCACTTTTTTTTTTTTTTTTTAATGCTTGTTGATGGACCTTTATTTTTTTAACATGCTGTGCTGAGAGTTGAACTCAGTGCCTCACAACATGCTAGGCAAACACTTTACCACTGAGCTATAGCTACCTAGCCCTGTCCCCAGCCCTTTTTGAGGCAGAGTATCACTAAGTTGCTTAGGCCTTGCTGTGTTGCTGAAGCTGGCCTTGACTTGTGATCCACCTGCCTCAGCCTCTTAAGTAGCTGGGATTACAGGCATGTGCCACTGTGCTGGACAATATAATATTCTCAAGTTCCATCCATTTTCCTGCAAATGACATAATTTCAGTCTTTGTGGCTGAACAAAATTCCATTGTGTATATATACTACATTTTAAAAATCTATTTTTCCATGCATAGATCCCTAGACTGGTTCTGTAGTTTGGCTATTGTGAATTGTGCTGCTATTAACATGGGTAATCAGCCGGGCATGGTGACACATGCCTGTAATCCCAGCAGCTCAGGAGGCTGAGGCAGGAGGATTGTGAGTTCAAATCCAGTCTCATCCAATGTGAGATGCTAAGCAACCCAGTGAGACCCTGTCTCTAAATAAAATACAAAAATAGGGCTGGGGATGTGGCTCAATGGTTGAGTGCCCCTGAATTCAATCCCCAGTACCCAAACAAATAAACAAGGATATTCCTATATTGCTATAGTATGCTGACTTTAATTCTTTAGGCTAAGTACTGAGAAGTGGTATAGCTGGGTAATATGGTGGTTCCATTCCTAATCTTTTGAGGAACCTCGATATCAGTTTTCATGGTTGTTGTACTAATTTATAGTTCTGCCCAAAGTGTTCCTTTTTCTCCACATCCTCTCCAGCATTTATTATTGTTTGTGTTCTTGATGACTGCCATTCTAACTGGAGTGAGATGAAATCTCCGTGTAGTTTTGATTCACATTTCCCTAATTGTTAACGATGTTGAAATTTTTCATGTTTGTTGGCTATTTGTATTTCTTTTGAGGAGTGTCTATTCAGTTCATTTATTAATCAGGTTGTTTTTGTGATGTTAAGTTTTTTGAGTTCCTTACATATTCTGAATATTAATCCTCTGTCAGAAGAGTAGTTAGCAAAGATTTTTCTCCCATTCTGTAGGTTTTTTTTTTTTTAATGTGTTAATTAATTAATTAATTAATTTATTAATTTATTTTTTTAATTTAACTGTAGGTTCTTTCTTCACATTCCTACTTGCTTTCTTTGTTGTGCAGGAGTTTTTAAATTTGATGCCATCCTATTTATTAATTCTTTAGATTATTTCCTGAGTCTTAGGGGTCTTATTAAGATTATCATTTCCATGGGGCTGGGGTTGTGGCTCAGTGGCAGAGTGCTTGCCTCACACACGTGAGGCACTGGGTTTGATCCTCAGCACCACATAAAAATAAGTGAATATAATAAAGATATTTAAAAAAAAAAGATTATCGTTTCCTGCTCCTATTTGTTGGAATTTTTTTTTTCTTTGTTTGTTTTTTCTTTTTCTAGCACCAGGGATTGAATCCAGGTGTGCTTAACTACTGAGCCACATCCCCAGTCCTTTTTAATATTTTATTTAGAGACAGGGTCTCACTGAGTTGTTTGGTTCCTTTCTGTGCTGAGGCTGGTTTTGAACTCGAAAGCTTCCTATCTCAGCCTCCCGGGCTGCTGGGATTATAGGCATGCACCACTGAGCCTGGCTACAATGTCTGTTTTTATGCCAGTACCATGCAGTTTTTTTTTTTTTACTATAACTCTGTAGTGTAATTTGAAATTGGGTGTTGTGATTCTTCTTGCATCACTGTTCTTGCTCAGGATTGCTTTGGCTGTTCAGGGGCTTTTATTCTTCTATATGAATTTTAGAACTGTTTTGTATAATTCTGTAAAGAATTGGTCTTTGATGGGGATTGTGTTGAATCTGTATCTCATTTTTGGTAGTATGGCCATTTTAACAATAATAATTCTGCCTATCCTTGAACATGGGAGGTCTTTCCATCTTCTTGTGTCTTCTTCAGTTTCTTTCTTGTGGTTCCCCCCCACTCCGCCCCAGTACCAGGGTTTGAACTCAGGAGCACTCGACCACTAAGCCACATCCCCAGCCCTATTTTATATATTTTTTTTTTCCTTAGAGACAGGGTTTCATTGACTTACTTATTGCCTTGCTGCCATTGATGAGGCTGGCTTTGAACTTACCATCCTCCTGTCTCAGCCTCCCGAACCCCTTGAATTACAGGCATGTACCACTGCGCCTGGCAGTGTTCTCTGGTTTTCATAGTAGAATTTTTTTCACTTCCTTAGTTAGATTTATTTCATTTATTTATTTTTGAGGATTTTGTTTTTTAATTGTCAATGGACATATATTTATTCATTTGTTTTTTATTTTTTATTTTTTTTTAAAGAGAGAGGGAGAGAGAGGGAGTTTTTTTTTAATGTGGTGCTGAGCAGCCAGGGCCTCACACATGCTAGGCAAGTGCTCTACCACTGAGCCACAACCCCAGCCCGTATTTATTTATTTATAGTGGTGCTGAGAATTGAACCTAGTGCCTCGTACATGCTAGGCAAGGTCTCTACCACTGAGCTATGGTTCCAGACCATTTTGAGGATATTTTTAATGACACTATTTTCCTGATTTCTTTCTCAGCAGATTCATTATTTGTGTATAGGAAAACTACTGATTTTTTTTTAAAGTTAGTGATACTTTTTTTTTTAGATGTTGATGGACCTTTATTTTATTCATTTATTTATATGCGGTGCTGAGAATCGAACCCAGTGCCTCACACATGCTAGGCAAGCACTGTACCACTGAGCTACAACCCCAGCCCTAAAACTATTGATTTTTTTAAAATATATTTTTTAGTTGTAGGTGGACACAATTCCTTTATTTTTTTTTTGTGGTGCTGAGGATTGAACCCAGTGCCCTCGTGTGCTAGGCGAGCACTATACCACTGAGCCATAACCCCATCCCCCAAACCGTTGATTTTTGTATGTTGATTTTATGATTTGTTACTTTGCTGAATTTTTTTTTTTTTAATCACCTCTAAAAGTTTTCTGGTGAAGTGTTTTTTTTGGGTCTTCTAGATATAGGATCTTGTTATAAACAAACAGATAATTTGACTTCTTCCTTTCCTATTTGTATTCCTTTAATTTTCTTCTCTTGCCTGATTGCTCTGGCTAGAGTTTCAAGAACTATATTGAACAAGATTGGTAAGAGTGACTATCCTTATGTTGTTCCAGATTTTTAAGGAAATGCTTTTTGTTTTTCCCCCGTTCCGTATGGGTTTGTTGTAGATAGCCTTTACGATTTTGAGGTCAGTTCCTTCTATCCCTGGTTTCTTCATTGTTTTTGTAATGAATGGGTGCTGAATTTTGTGGAAGGCTTTCTTTGCATCTATTCAGATGCCTATATAATTTTTTCCCCTTAATTCTATTTGAGGTGAATTGCATTTATTGATTTGCATATGTTAAGCCACCTTGCAACCCTGGGATAAGACCAACTTGGTCTTGATGTACAATCTTCTTAACATGCTGTTGAATATGATTTCCTAATATTTTATTAAGGATTTTTTGCATCTTAAGTTCATCATCTCATGTGGAAAAAATGTACTAGTCATTCCAGTTTTATTTGTTGAAAAGAAGCTTCATTGTATTGCTTTTGTTCCTTTGTCAAAAATCAGTTGACTGCATTTTTTTTTAGTTGTAGATGGACACGTTATATTTTATTTTTTTTTATTTTTTAATGTGGTGCTGAGGATCAAATCCAGTGCCTTACGCATGTGGGGCACATGCTCAACCACTGAGCTAAAGCCCCAGGCCCTTGACTGCATTATTGTGGTGGGTCTATTCAGAAATAGATCCAGAATCCAGAATTCTCTGTTCTGTTCCATTGATCTATTCTTTCATCAGTGCTACGCTGTCTTGTGTTTAGTAGCTTTCTTCTTCTTTTTATTTTTGTGGTGCTGGGTATTGAACTCAGGGCCTTGTGCAAGGGAAGCACTCTACCAACTGAGCTATATCCCCAGCCCTGTAGCTTTTTTTTTTTCTTTTGTTTCCTTAAATTTTTTCTTTTTTAATTTTTTTTTTAGTTGTAGGTGGACACATGACTTTATTTTTCTGTGGTGCTAAGGATCAAACCCAGTACCTTAAACGTGCCAGATGAGCGCTCTACCACTGAGCCACAGCCTCAGCCCCAATTTTTTTTTTTTTTTTTTAAATTTTGAAACAGGATCTCATTAAGTTCCATAGGCTGACCTCTAACTTGTGATTGTCCTGCCTTAGCCTCCTGAATTGCTGTACCATTTCTGGCTATCTTTTTTTACCATAGCTTTACAAGTCTTAAAGTCAGGTAATAACAGCTTCTTGGCTTTGTTCTTTTAGTATTGTATTGGTTTGTCTGAGTGGTTTTTCTCTCCATATAAACTTTAAATTGGTTTGCTAATAGCTAAAATTTGTTTTTAAACCCAGATAAATACTCAAGGTGCTTTTGTGGTCATTCACAGCCACGTGCAGAGTAGCAAAACATTTCAGTCACCCAGTGTGTACATTTTCATGTATAACTAAAGCAGGCAGTGCTCTGCCTTCTTATCTCAGTTCTAATATTGTGAACAAGTCTTGTGTTTGTGGTCTATATAATACCACATTTTTGTGCTTTTTTTGGTGATTTTGCTATTTCAAGTGGCTCTTAAATATAGTGTTGAAGTGATGTCTTCTCTTTCTAAGTGCAAGAAGGCTTTGAGGTTTTTTACTGAGAAAATAAGTGCCTTAGGTAAGCTTCATTCAGACAAGGGTTACAGTGTTGCTGCCATAAGTTCATTGTTAATCAGTGAGCAATGTATATTAAATGAGGTGTATTTAAACTGAAACACACATAAAGCAAGGTTGCGTATCTATCAGTTAATGAAAATGTGACAAGAGGCTTGCAGAAACCTGATTAACCCTTTATTTCCCCTAACACTAGTGATTCAGTATACATGGCAACTTCATAGAATATAACTATTTTGAATAATGAGAATTGGCTATCTGTGTTACCAAGATTTTAAAAGGAAAGAAACTATTGTTGATTAAATTATGCTGTCTTTTAAATTTTAGTACATGGAACTATGCTAGCTATAGTCAAATTCCTTTGTGATCTGTACATTTTATTTTTGTGCCCATTGTGTAGATGAAAGTGCTGTTAATTTTTTTCACTAAAGTTGTTTTGCTGTATCTCTTTAAGAAAGAAATAAAGGTTTTTTTGAGTACTATTTAAAATATTGAAAATAGAAATAATAATATTGTTAATACATTTGCTTCAGTCTGTTGCTATGTAGCATATTACTCCAAACAATAAACATTATCTCATCATTTCTGTTGGTTAGGAATTTGGGTGTGTCTTAGTTGGATGGTTCTGAATCACTGTCTTTAATGAGGTTACTTTCAAGTTGTTGGCTATACCTGTCACTTGAAAGATTGGTGACAGAATACTTTGATAATGGTTCACTCACATGGCAGGAGGGAAACCTTACTTCATTGCCACCTGGATTTCTATGTGCTTCTAGAGTGTCCTTAAAGTATGCCAGGTAGGCCTCTCCTAGAGCAGAATTCAAGACCAACAGCAAGGAGGAAGCCATGCTGCTCTATGACTTAGCTGGTCACTTCTGTCGTATTCCATTTAATAAAATTGAGTCACTAAATGCAGTTACACTCAAAGGGTAATTGAATTCTACCTCTTGAAGGGAGTAGTGTCAAAGAATTTGTTCACATATCTTAAAACCACCACCACATTAATATTAGCTAACAGTTCTTATTTTTTCTCCTAGTGGTAAAAGTGCCGCAAAAGACACTCCTGATGGATGCTCTTAAAGAAAAATCTGAAATAATCTATGATTTTTGTATGTGCAACCCCCCCTTTTTTGCTAACCAATTGGAAGCCAAGGTAAAATGTCTTTTGCTTTAAAATAGTTGAATGTTTAATTAAATTTGCCTTGTTTACAGAGATGAGAGCAGTTTTTTATTTATAAATTATATCAATTAGGATGCTTTTGGTTTGAAATACTTAAAAACCCAATTCAGATGGACTTAACTAAAGAAAGTTTATTTGGCTTATATATCAGAAAAACACAACAATAGTTTGGTCTTTAGGAACAGTTTAATCAAGGAATTCACAGAATCACCAGGCTGAGGCTCTGTTTTTCCAGGTTTCTCTGGTCCTTGGCTGTTTTGTTCTTGGGTTGGTTTAGTCATGGTCAAGTCATATTTATGGGATTGCTGAGGGTAGAGCTTTTTTCTTTCCCTACCATGGAACTTTTGATTTTTTTTCCACTTGGACCATCTTAGATCATAGTTTACTCCTGGACTAAGTTTGTTGAAGGGAAAAAATTATTATTTTTGCTACCTGTCATTTAATAGTAACTAAATGGCCTATTTTGTCTTTCTAACTTCAGGTGAAAAATATATTTGCTTATAAATATTGAAAGACATGTATGGAGTAAAAAGAACTAACACATTAAAAACTCAGTGCTAGGGTTGGGGATGTAGCTCATTGGTAGAACACTGGCCTAGCATGTGTAGGATCCTGGAATCAGTCCCTAGCATTGCAAAACAAAAACAAGAAAAAAATTTCCATGATATAACATATTACTGATTTAACCTGTGTGGTTTTTTTTTTTTTTTGTACTGGGGATTGAACTCAGGGGTACTTGACCATTGAGCCTCATCCCCAGCTCTATTTTATATTTTATTTAGAGGCAGGATCTTACTGAGTTGCTTAGTGCTTCACTTTGCTGAGGCTGGCTTTGAACTCGCAATCCTCCTGCCTCAGCCTCCTGAGTTTCTGGGATTATAGGCGTGCGCCACTACGCCCAGCTAACCTGAGTTTTTATTATCTAGTGAACCCTTTCTGTTAGTAATGAAGAATGACTAGTATTAATCAGAGGAAATCAGGGGTATGTATGCTTAAAACTTTTGAGAGAATAAATTGTTTTTAGAATTACTCAGATATGGGCTGGGGATGTTGCTCAACCAGTAGCGCGCTCGCCGGGCATGCGTAAGGCCCGGGTTCGATCCTCAGCACCACATACAAACAAAGATGTTGTGTCCGCCGAAAACTAAAAAATAAATATTAAAATAAATTCATTCTCTCTCTCTCTCTCTCTCTCTCTCTCTCTCAAAAAACAAAAAAACAACAAAAAAAACAAAGAATGACACAGATACCCTAAAATTACCATATAAATGACTCTTAACAAATGTAGATGGATTAAATTTTTTTTAGAGAATAGAGAAGTTGAACATAATTTTATTAGCAATACCAACATTCCAGATTAGAACATAAAGTGTTATTTAAGAAATTTAAATTTTAGCCAGGTGCAGTGGCTAAAATTAAAAGTAATCAAAGCCAGCCTCAGCAATTTAGACTCTGTCTCTAATAAAATACAGAAAAGGACTGGGAATGTGGCTCAGTGGTTAAGTGCCTCTGGGTTTAATCCCTGGTGTGTATACACACACACACACACAGAAATTTAGACTTTTGTCTTCAATGCAGATAAATTGTATGAATGAAAATAACTACATTTTTTTAACTTGATGAGTTACTACATTTATTCCAAAAGTGCACATGAGGGGCTAAAGGTATAGATTGTCCACTATGTGTGATACCCTTGGCTTGATCCACAACACCAAAAAAAGTGTCCATGTCTTAACTATGGACTGTAAAACCCATATCCAGATAAAGAAGTCAAGCATTTTTAGTACCAGAACCAAGGTCTTTTTTTTTCTCTTATGAATAGTGTTAAGTGTTAATGTTAAAAAAAAAAGTATATTAATGTAAAAATATTTCTGGTTATAGATTTCCGTTTATTTTGGTCATAATCCCAGGAGTAGAATTGCTAGGTTCTATGATAACTCTGTTTAATTGTTTAAGGAACTGCTGGCCTATTTTCCAAAGTAACTATATCACTTTATATTCCCATCAGCAGCATGAGGGTTCCAGTTTTCCACATCCTTATCAACACTTTTTATTAACTGTCATTTTGATTATAGCTATCCTGGTGGATGTGAAATGGTATCATTGTGGGTTTTTTCCCTTCACATTTTTTATCAGTACATTAGTGTTGTATATACTGATGGGAATATTGTTACATATTCATACACGCACATAATATAGCAATATAATTTGGCCAATAGCATTCCCCAGCACTACCTGCCCCATATCCTACCCACCTTGATCCCTTTCCTCTGTTGTTCTGCCTTTGATTTTTGGGAGATTCACCCTCACTAGCAACTCAATCCCTGGTTCAAAAAAAAAAAAAAAAAAAAACACCTTCATTCTTTATATATACAATTTTTTGTTTGTTCATCCATTGATGGACATCTAGGCTGGTTCCATAGTTTGGCTATTTTGAAGTGTGATGTTGTAAATGTGAGTATGCATGTATCACTGCAGTACGATGACTTTAATTCTTCAGGATAAATACTGAAGAATGGTATACCTGGATCATGTGGTCATACGGAAATCTTCATACCGTTTTCCATAGTGGTTATAGTCACTGTGGTTTTGATTTCCCTGATGGCCGATGATATTAGGCACCTTTTCATGTGATTATTTGTATTTTAGATTTGCCTATTCAGATTTTCTGCCTCCCCCTGCTTTGTTTTTGTTTGGGATTAAACCCAGGGCCTCACACATGTGAGCAAGTACTCTACCACTGAACTACATACACCTCCACTCCTCCTGCCCATTTCTACATTGGGTTTTGCCTTCCTTCCTTCACCTGGAGATGAACTCAGGGGCACTCCACCACTGAGCCACATCCCCAGCCCTATTATGTATTTTATTTAGAGACAGGGTCTCACTGAGTTGCTTAGTGCCTCACTTTTGCTGAGTCTGGCTTTGAACTTGTGATCCTCCTGCCTCAGCCTCCTGAGCCGCTGGGATTACACATGTGTGCCACTGCACTTGGCTCTTTTTATTATTAATTTCTTTATGTATCTTAGGTGTAAGTGCCTTTTTAAATAATGATTTGCAGGGCTGGGGATGTGGCTCAAGCGGTAGCGCGCTTGCCTGGCATGCGTGCGGCCTGGGTTCGATCCTCAGCATCACATACAAACAAAGATGTTGTGTCCGCCGAAAACTGAAAAATAAATATTAAAAATTTAAATAAATAAATAAATTTAAAAAAATAATAATAATTTTTAAAAAATAATGATTTGCAGAGATATTCTATGGGTTATCTTCTCACTTTCTTTGTGTGTCCTTTGTAACTCTGAAATTTGTTTTTTTCTTTTTTGTACTAAAGATTGAATCTTGAATCCAGGGGCACTTTATCAATGAGATATATCCCTATTACTTTTTATTTTTTGAGACAGGATCTTGCTAAGTTGCCCAGGCTGGCCTCAAACTTTGGATCCTCCTGCCTCAACCTGCTAAGTTAATGGGATTACAGGTGTACACCCCCACACCTGATTGTAGCCTAAAAGTTTTTAATTTTGTTGAGGTTCAATTTCTGAAATTTTGTTTTCATTTTTATGCTTTTTGGTGTTGTATCTAATGAACTATTGGCTAAACCAAGATAATGAAGATTTATTTCTACATTTTCTTCTGAGAGTTTTATAGCATTAACTTTTACCTTTAAATCTTCAATGGTTTTTGAGTTAACTTTTTTTTATATGATGTGAAGTAATCTAAAAAGCAAAGCCATAGCCAGGCTTGGTGCACATGCCTGTAATCCCAGCTACTCAGGGGCCTGAGGCAGGAAGATCAAAAATTTAAGCCAGCCTGGGCAAGTTAGTGAAACCCTATCTCAAAATAAAATTTAAAAAGGTCTGGGGATATAGCTCAGTAGAGTGTTTGCCTATTGTACACAGTTGGCTAGGTTCCATCCCCAGTACTACAAAACAAAATCAACACCTAAACCATAAAAGTTACTAGAAGAAATTAAAGTAAATATTTAATTTTTAGGTAGATTTTCTGTGCTTTGGTATCAAGACAGAAAGTATTAAAAAAAAAAAAAAAAAAAAAAAAACCCTAAATCTTGTACAATATGTGGAAAGTATTTTGTGTTTAACTAGATTACATTCAAAGATTTTTTTCTTCATGTGTAAAAATTTTTCACCAGGGATTTTGTTTTTGTTGTTCAGGGAGTAAACTCTCGAAATCCTCGAAGACCTCCACCTAGTTCTGTAAATACCGGAGGTATCACAGAGATAATGGCAGAAGGAGGTGAATTAGAATTTGTTAAGCGGATCATCCATGACAGTTTACAGCTTAAAAAAAGATTAAGGTAAGTGTGTTGTCATAGCATGGGAATATTTGTCCATGGCATAGTTCCTAAAGAAGTCATTTCAGGGCTGGAGACGTGGCTCAAGCGGTAGCGCGCTTGCCTGGCATGCGCAGAGCACTAGGCTCCATCCTCAAAACCACATAAAAATAAAAAATAAAGACATTGTGTCCACCTAAAAAAACTAAAAAATAAATATTGAAAAAAAAAAAGTTGTCGGGTTGGGGATGTGGCTCAAGCGGTAGCGCGCTCGCCTGGCATGCGTGCGGCCCGGGTTCGATTCTCAGCACCACATACAAACAAAGATGTTGTGTCCGCCAAAAATAAAAAATAAATATTGAAGTTCTCTCTCTCTCTCTCTCCTCTCTCTCTCACTCTCTCTTTAAAAAAAAAAAGTTGTCATTTCACTCAAAGGAAAAGGAATCTCTGAGGTCTGAAGAATAAACATATAAAGGCTGAAAACATAGCAGATCCTGTACTGTATAAAGACCATGTTTCTGAGGATGCTGCCATGCTTCTAATTGGTGTGTGTTTCCTGTAGTCATTTATACCACACAAATAGAAAAAAAGAAAATACCATATGATTATATTGCTTAGTATGGTCCTGGATGGAACAAAACAGGTTTAAATATGGCTTTTGATTAGAAAACAGATGGGTTCAAATCTGTCCCATGAACCAGAATAAATTTGTTGCCTAGTCCTTGAAGCAATTTACATTCTTGGAATCAGTCTCCCAAACAGTGACAGATGTGAGGACATTGAGCTGTCAAGAACTTAATGAAGGGAAACAGATCACTAACCAGTTCCAGAGAAGGGTTAAGGCTATTCTTTTTTAAAAGCTAATTGTTTTGGACAACACACCTAACATTAAGCAGCATAACGTACTCATAAAGAGCCTTATCTTATTTGACTTCGTACCCTGCCACAAGTTGTTGATGTGATGGATAATGTAATATCCAAAGTTGAAAAACCTTCCAGCCCTAGCATTTAGCTTTGGCACTTTGGGAAAATAAATAAATAAACACACACACACACACGTATATAAAATTTTTTTTGGTATTGTAATACAGGTAACAAAATTTACCATCGTTTTTTTTTTAAATATTTATTTAGTTGTAGATGAACACACAGTATCTTTTTATTTATTTTTATGTGGTACTGAGGATTGAACCCAGTGCCTCACACATGTGAGGCAAGTGCTTTACCACTGAGGTACAGCCCCAGCCCAGAATTTACCATCTTAATTTTTGGTTTGTTTGTAGGGCTAGGGATTGAATTCTACTACTAAACTATGCCATACCCAGCCTTATCTTAATATTGTTTTTTGTGTATAGTTCAGTAGTGCTAAATGCATTATTGCGCTAGAACTCTTCATTTTACAATACTGTAACTCTATATATTGTCCAACTGCCCATTCTCCCAGCCCCTGGCCACCATCATTCTATTTTCTATCCATTTGACTATACGAGATACCTCCTTTAAGTAAAATCATACAACACATGTTCATTTGTAACTGGCTTATTTCAGTTAGCGTAATGTTTTTAAGGTTTATCCATGACTTGTACCATGTATTATAATTTCCTTCCTTTTTAAAACAAATAATATTAATTTTCCATTGTATGTACTGCATTTTATTTATTCATGTATTGATGGACATTTAAAATTGTTTCTTGCTGGGGATATAGCTCAGTTGGAAGAGTGTTTGGCTTGCATGCACTGGCCCTGGGATTGATCCCCAGCACCACCAAAAAAAAAAAAAAATTGTTTCTACCCTTTGGCTCTTGTGAACAAGGCTGTATGAACACCAGTATACAAGTATTTCTTTGAATTCCTGCTATCAGTGCTTGATATGTAACCAGAAGTGGAATTCCTAGATAGGGAATTTTTTTTTCCTTTTCTTTTGGACTTACAGGTGTTTGAAGCTGTTTATTTTAGTAAAAGGCAATTTTAAAATAAAAAAAAATCTTTATTTGTTAATATGAGTTGATTTCAGTGTTTATGGAAAACAACTTGTTTTTTTTTTTTGTAATTGATTATTTTATTTATACATGACAATGGAATGCACTACCATAAAAAGTACTCCAGCACCTGGAGACTAAACAATATGCTACTGAGTGAACAATGTGTTACAGAAGACATCAAGGAGGAGATTAAAAAATTCTTAGAGGTAAATGAGAACACAGACACAACATATTGAAATCTCTGGGACACTATGAAACCAGTGCTAAGAGGAAAGTTGATTGTATGGAGTTCATTCCTTAAAGAAGAAAAAGTCAATAAATAAATGACCTAACTATATATCTCAAAGCACAGAAAAAGAAGAACAAATAAACATCAAAAGCAGCAGAAGGCAGGAAATAATTAAAATTAGAGATGAAATCAATGAAATCGAAACAAAAGAAACAATTGAAAAAATTGTCAAGTTATTTTTTCTTTGAAAAAATAAATAAAATTTACAGACCCTTAGCTACACTAATGAAGAGGAGAGAGAGAACTCAAATTATTAACATATGTGATGAAAAAGGTAATATCACCATCGACACTTCAGAAATACAGAGGATAATTAGAAATTATTTTGAAAACTTACACTCCAGCTTAGTTAATAGATGGTCTGTTCCTCAGAAAAGTTACATATTGCTGAAGCCAAAATACATTTTTGCTTTAATTGATTTCTTCAAAGACACATTAGGATATGTCAAAGAAGAGTAAGACTTAAGTTATATGGAGCATTGAGAAAAGTCTGAGTAGGTAATGTAAAGTTAAAGAATGTAATAGAGTACTGAAGAGGTGACTAGGCTGTGTAGCCATTTCTTTTTTTTTTTTTTTCTTTCTTTTTTTAAATTTTAATTTGTTATATATGATATACTGTAGGGTTTTGAAATTACTTGGGCCAACCAGGAAAATGAAAATGTGTCATTATAAATGGCTCTTTTAGGCTATAGTATTTGTGGGATTGTTTTTAGGAGGAAAGTTTTTTTGTGTGTGTGTGTGGCGGGGTACTGAGGATTGAACCTAGGGGGTTTCTAACACTGAGTTACATTGCCAGCCCTTTTAGTTTTTTATTTTGAGAGAGTGTTTTGCTAAATTGCTGAGGCTGGCCTCAAGCTTTCAGTCCTCTGGCCTCGGCCTCCAAGTGGCTGGGATTATAGGCATATACCACCATGCCTGGCTAGGAGGCTTATAAATAGTAAATTTCTATTGGCTTCCGAAGTCCCTTTTGAAGTACAGAAGTATGTTTTAAGAGAACACTCTTCAAAGGGATAGAAACTGATTCAGTCTCTTTCAAGTCTACCTGACCTGTCTCTTTGGCAGCCACCGAACTGAATAAAATTTGTAAATTTTTGAGGAAGGATAAATTGCAAGAGTCCTTCATGTCTCTGGTTAGTTGGCCATTTCAGGCTTGTATCATTTAGGAGAAACATTACCCAGTTCTAATTTATGTGAGAAGTTTTCAGGTATCTGCTCTACTACGACTCAGGCAGATTGAGAGGGAAGAAAAGAAATGATTTTTAATCAAAAGAGAATAGTGTAATACTTTGAGAACAAGTGTTGCTCATAAATACTGTTTTCAATTTCACATCCTACCAGGACTACTTAACATTTGTACATACTACCAGTTCATGTGTATTTTTGTAGTTGAAATGATCACATTTATACTGGTATGTGAATCAAATTTTAGAATTCTGTGAAAGCTGCATGTTTTGAAGCTCTAAGAAAATAAGAGATTAAAACAAGAGTCTTAACCCTACCATCTGTTTCTTATCCCTCTAAAATATTTTCCTTCTTATCCCCAGAGGAAATATAGAAATTAGCCAGGCGCAGTGGTGCATACCTATAATCCTAGCCATGTGGGAGGCTGAGGCAGGAGGATCACAACTTCCAGGATAGTTTGGGCAACATTGAGACCCTGTCTGCAGAAGTAGCTAAGTGGTGAAGCACCTGTGGGTTGGGTTCAATTCCCCAGTGTAGCCAAAAAAAGTAAGGAAGAAAGAAAGGAAGAAACTAAGCAGAATTTGCAACATTATAGGGTAAAATAAATTAAGTGGCCTGATGGCCCTTGGATGTTTCCCATAGCTGTGTAAGGTGGTGCATGCCTTACACAGAAAGATCACAAATTGGTGGCCACCCTGAGCCACTTAGTGACTATCTCAAAATACAAAATACAAAATAAAAAGGGCTGAGGATGCCCAGCATATATGAGATCCAGTACCACAAAAAAAAGGGAAGATAAAAAAAAAAGATGCCTCTTCTTTAAGATTTATGTCTCACCTAAATCATGCGCAGGAGCAATTACAACTGTTTTTCTCTTAAGGGAGTTTTGCAGCTGGAAGGAACTTAAGAGAAACTTATCCAACCTCTTGGTTTTACCAGTTAGGAACTCAGATTTCCTGATGGTCTGCACTGTATTTAGATAAGTGGACAGCCTTTTTATCATTGTTGAAGATTCACAGGTACTTATCACCTGTTTTTTAACTTTTTATGCCTGTGCTTGAGCTTTAATAGCTTTTTCTTTTTTAAAGAGAGACTTACCCATCTGTCATGGATAAATTACCAGACTTTATCAAATTCCTCATGACTTCCATTGGTTATTAAGTCTATAGATCTTGCACTTTAGGCAGTAACTTTATAACTTCTCCTAAAACCAGTGATCTGTATTTTATGAAGCACCAGCTAAATACTGGTTTCACCCATTTCTTTCTGTTTTTTTTTGCTTTTTCCCTTCTATTCCCTGCTCCCTGCCAGATGGCCGATATTTTTTTAGATTTGGGTATAATCCATATATTTGGGGATAGGCAGTAAATCTAATAATTGATTTTGTTGAATGTGATTATTTAACTTGTGCTTGAAATTTTTTGTTTTCCTAGCCAGGCACAGAGTCATTCATCTGTCATCCCAGTGACAAGGATCTCAAGTTCAAGGCTAGCTTTGGCATCTTAGTGAGACCCTCTCTGAAAATAAAAGATTAAAAAATAAGAAAGGAGGGAGCCTAATATTCTGTGGCT